GGTTAGGTGTATTCCAATTAAAGCTAAGATCTGAAGCCCGACCCGACCAGAAATTCGGGCCTGAAATGTCAATCATTACGTTCGGGTCTGGTCGGCACGACACATACTATACTAAACTCTTGTAATGACAATTCAAAGAACTCGTGAATAAAATATGAAATATCGGGCTCGGGCCTGCAAATCCAGTTAATTGGCCGGGGTCGGGTCTGGTTTAGTACTCACGGGCCTGGGTCGGGCTGGAATTTTTGGGCCCGTTCTTACCTCTAATTCCAATATATATCTGTATTTGGATTTTTTTGTGAATCTTTGCAATATACGAACATTTGGCATTCAATACATTGTGTGCTTTTTGACTCCTGAAGGAGTCCAGATCGGGGTTACGCTTCATAACGTGTGTCAATCCAATAATACGGGAGTCGAACCTGCAGATAGGGCTACTCTTTCCCTATAAGCTACATGGTTTGAATAGTAAGTGGATGAAAGACAACTTTATTTTATTAATTTTATTGGACAACGTCTATTACAGTCAAAAAAGACTCGCTTTTAATGAGATCCTTGTTTCTGCTTTTTCTTGCTCAACTATGTAATATCGGGACTATATTTGAACACTTTCAGACGAGCACAAGTTTCCGAATGATCTTCCGTATGTCGGCTGCGATGGGGATAGAGAATAAACTTCATGTGCAAAAATATTTGTTCATACAAATAAGTGAACAGGCAAACTATTTATTAAAAACTACAATGACATGTTATTCCATTTTTCATTATGTAATGCTAATTTGCCCCGGTTAAGTGCAGACATTTTTTCGCTTTCTCTTACACTTTGGATGAGTTAACAAAAATTGGATAAATACGTGTGCGTGCGCTCCAAATCACTTGGCGTGCCAAGGAAAACCCTCTCGCGTGCCATTTTGGCACACGTTCCAGGAGTTGCCGACCCCTGGTATACAGCTATTATAGAAATAGTATACAGACGGGGTTGTTGACTGATATATGATTGAATATTTTACATAATATTGTATTTATTATATATAAATGTGTTATTGTTTATTATTTTTAATGCTGTATGTATGAATCAATAAATTTATCTTACCTTTCTATGTCGTTTACTATCTGCTACGTAGTGTCTGCCTCCGTTGTTACGTGACGATAGAGGTAGACACTACTTGTTGCAATTTTGCAAGCTGCAGTTAAATTATCTGCCAAACCGAGTTTAGCGAACATGAGTGATTTTTTTTTTGGTATTTCAAGGGAAAATCAGGCAGAGTTGACGTTGCCTTTGTTTTTCAGACCTACATGTTTTCAAACTTTAAAAGGCAATAAGTACACGTTAACGATCACAAAATTCAGTTTTACTGTTATTTTTTGCGTCGTGACTTTTTTCCCTGATATTTTGGCGCGCACGAACGGCCAAAAGTTTGAAGACGTAGCTAGAAGTAAAGTGTTGTTCATAAACTTTGTCCTAAGAATTATTGGAGTAGCCTAGACCTTTTTCATCGCTAATGAAAAAAAATTTAAAAAGTCATATTGACGAAAATATATTAATTTTATAGTGAAATCGGATCTGGACTAGATGATCTGCCGGCCGCTTTGAGGTTTATATATACAAAGATTAATGGCACAATGAATTCGATTTGTATCTGGGCATTTTAGGATATTTTGACTCGCTTGGTGTTTCATGATATTATTGCTTACGCTACTTTATTGTCAGGCTGGGGTGGGGGTGTTTACAAATTTAGAACATGATGTGAAATCTTGCAACTTTGAGAGCTTTGGATTTGCCCAGTCGCAGAAACCTATTGGTCTTGAAATTGAATAACGCTGGGCTTCAAATTCAAATTGGTATTCACATGTGGTATTTGTTCCCACCGGAAAGTTGAATAAACAGTATTAAGTCAGTTTTTAAACGGACGATTTGAACAACAATACATTTCAATATTTTTTATGGTTATGAGCTGAAGACGGAGATAAATTGGAATTTCGCCAAACTTTGAGGGCGATAGTTGAATTATTGTTAAAATCATGTATGACCCAAAGTTTAGTGAAACGAATTGAGCTCAACCTATCCAAAATTAAGAAAGCGAGAACCTAAGAACGCTTTGTATGGGACCATAAACAGACGGCGTTCTGTGATATAGTAGTTGTATTTTTGACCTAGATGTGGAAATACCACTTGGACAAATCACAATTTTTACGCACATATAATCGTACACTGGCGTGTGAGCCAGTCTCTGGAAATGCCAATGCTATCACTTTTATTTGAGGGCTCAGTGAAGGAATGAATAATGAGAAGATGGAAGAATGTGTAGAGAAATCCCTGGTACACACGTATATATATATATATATATGAAATCAACAAGAAAAAAAAAACATTTCATTACATAATTTTTCACTAGGAACTGCTCTTTGCGACGCAATTTTCTTTTTCTGTGAGACACTGCATTCTTCGATATATGTAAAAATGTGTAAAATTTTGATAGCTGGATGGGGCAACAGGTCCGGCTATTTTTCGCTTTACATCACTGTATATATTTCATGGTTATAGTTCCGTTTGTTTATACTCACCAGGTGCGCTAACGAACAGTGCCGGACAAAGATCATTTTTTCGAGTGCCGCAGCAGATGGTAATCGCTTTCATGCTGGGAGAGTCGTCGAAAGCGTCTGCGCGCGGTTATCGGATGTAAGTCTCGAGTAAATTGGTTATTTGATAAAAGCCAACACCCAGTTTAAAAAGTACGCGTTCGTCGCCTTGCATGTTAAAAGGATTCACCGATAAGAGGCTACATATAAAATTTACTAAATTAAATGTAGCTTAATCGAAATTATTTAATTTAGCGATAATAAGGTTTGAAGAAAGGTGTTAATTAGTCTGTTTGGGAAATCACTTCTCGCAGGAAAGATTGTGACTGTAATTGGTTAACGTCGGCTAACTTTTCTTTTCGTGAAGCAATTTTACAAGTTTAGAACGTATAGTTAGTTTATGATTAGTTAAGCACGGTTGGATTATAGTAAGCGACATTCAGTTAACGGCGTAACCACGAAAGGTTAGTTCCGTTGGTATTTCTTAAAGCTGTTAACTATATCGTCATTGAATCGGAATGCGAATTTGGCGTTGTGCAGCAATTAGTGATTGAGGTCGTTCGTTCTATATACTGACAGCCTATGGACCTCACTTTCGTAACAGCATGCGTTTTTGAAACGTGTTTTTATTTTTAGTCACATCTCGTAAAATTGTCGTTGAGCGGATATTATTACTGTATTACAGCATCAGTTTATTTTGAGCCGATATGGGAAAATTGGTTTTGAAGTGGTCAAGGCCTCTGGTATGCAAAGTTGCTTGCGAAGTTAAATTTGCCCATCCTTACATAAAACAATTATTAAATGACATTTTGCGGAAATTTCACAAACTACATCATTTTTATATTCTTGATCGTATGATTTTTGACGTACGCCACTTCGGATAACATCAGAATATATGCTTCATAATCTTTATTCAGTCCAAGCGAGCCGGATTTGAAATTTGTTTTTCCAGTTGCCTATGTCTTTATCAGTTATTGGAAATTATAACGCCGACTCCTAAATATTTGATAGATTTGATTCTGGCGCCGGTATGTATTATATTAAAGCACAATGATTGGGTTTTATACTCTAATTTAGATGCACAATTGATGCTTCTTTGCCTTCGAAGTTATGAATCATTTAGTTAAAGTTACTGCTGAATTATCAGCCGAGATTTCGGAATATCATATATATATAGGTGACCAAGCGAATGCGTGATTGATTGTTAGAATGATTTGTTAGAAAGAGGCATTGTCGCATCACATTTTAGTTAGTATTAAAATTACCGTATATTGATTTCACGCAGATTTAGCGAATGCCCATGGGATTATTTGAATCGTATTTTGTAACGCGAGTCTATTGTCTGTGTCATCGGGGAATGGCATCATAAAAATAATAAGGTAGTTATATTCTATTGTTCAGTGTTCGCACTCCCCAGCGGCTTTTGTTTGTGTTTTGTTAGTCGGCGATAGATGGCCTAATTTCGTATAAGAAGGAAACGAGCGGATTTAATTCGAAGATGAACAAGCGCATCGTTTTAGAAGATTACTTTATTTGCCGAACCATTGCATTGTTTTCGAAAAGCGATCAAATCTTTTAATATGATTTTCAGACGATGCCGCCAATGGATGCTCATTTCAGCTCGTTATTTCAATCCCGTAAGCACCCTATCAATACGAGAAGTTTCTCCTGCTCAATTTGCCACTTTGCGATGAGAATAGAAAAAAATATAAAACACTACCAACGCAACGTGATAACTTCATTCCTCTACCTTGGAAATTTCCAACATTTTTTCGGGGATGAGGTTAATTAGTCTGTTTATATGTGAAAATATTGGCATTTAACGAGTTTTATTTAAAACCGCATGGCCCGGGATTTTCAAATCTTCTGATGGTATTGTTCGTTTTTGGTCGCAAATTTGAACAGGTTTACTAGCGTATTTATCAATGCTCGATTTATAATTCATTGTAAACGTTAGGGTACTTATTTCTTATCCCTTCTCGAGAGTGCCATTCATACGTTGTTAATATTTAACCATCCAAGAAAAAGTCGCACGCTTGTGTTATTTTGCGTCAGGCGTTATCTATCAGTTTGGACATGGTTTTTAATGTGGCGTGTTTACGCCTCGTCGTTTATTGATAAAAGATGAGTCACAGTAGCCAGCCATATCAAGTCTTTTGTCGGCGGAGTTCCCACCTGGATGGGTCATTTATAATCAGTGTGATTTTGTAATCAGTTGTTTACAATGGATGTGTGTTACTGTTGGACCTGCAAGGTTTCTGATACTTTTTAAGCATTGTCTTTGGCCGTGTCAAAAAAGTGTAAATGTAATAATATGAATCATCAGGTTAATATAGTATTATATTATATATCCACTTTTAACTTGAGGTTGTAGTAGATACTCACATCATAAATGAAATTTCATCCCGTTTTTACATTTCTACGCAAAAGCATAGTTTTTCAGTTTAGTACATAGTTTTTCACTATCACAATTATTCCAGGTGAGGTGCCTGTTGAAAACTCAAAAACCTATATCTTCTGGGCAAAATATTGCAGTGGTGTCACAACAGGTCTACTGTAAGTTTCACATGTGGATCTGGTAGATATCACTACAACAACTTGCCGCCGATGTGTCTGATATTTTTATTCTGAGATTTATTGTGGATTATATTATATTCAAGCAGCTGTGTATTTGAAGGATTTATCGAAACATAAGAAAAATGGATCCTACTGATAATGAATCAAATTACTCAGAGCTGACAAACAGGTAATAGTTTATTGTAATTTGTAACTGTCGGAATTATCTTGATATTTGAATAAATTCATTATTTTTTTTATGTACGATAGCGAAAGTCATATGCATAGGCATAAGTGTGTTTTGTGGAGAATTTAAATTAAAAAGGTGATTTTGGGATTTAGTCCACATATTATTGTAATAAATAAGGTACTCCTGTAGTATGTGTACCAGGTTGGGGTTAGGCCATAATTTCATTCTGATTTTTCCTATTTTAGTTCTATTACGGGTTCATGGATTGTCTGTGTTAGCCAAGTGAATATCCCCCTGCCCATAGGTTTCAGTCCCTTTATACAATTTAATGTAAAATAGGTGAACAAAATTAGTTACCTTACCTCCATATTGGTACACTACACACACTTCTGGAGCGCCATAAAAAATCCTTGCCAAGGTTTCTAAGGTTAATTTGTGGCCTAGTTTGTGGGGCTCAATTTGTAGCAGACATTTATAGTTTTATACATCTAAATTTTAGATCTGAAAGATCAAAACATCGAAGACATCGTTCTCCTCATGATCGTTCTAACAAAAGACACAGGAGTCGAGGTAGCAACCACGAGCTTGATGACAGTGGAGGTTTGTGTGATGACACAGGTGGCAACTGACATGGCAAATAACATGCGAGCATGATGTCGTTTTGTTATTTTAATTTGAATAATTTCCCAATATCAATAAAAATATTTAATAACCTGAATAATTCTGCACGTCAATGCTTCTCATGGTAATACAGTCAATTTTGTTTTTGTTGACTATAATCCATAAAAATGAGGTTCTCATTTAAGATCTTTTCAACTAGAAAATATCTATTAATAGTTATCTGAATTGTTTGCTTCAGTTACACCATTCAGTGACATACCCAAGAGCCAAAGTTTAGTTTTTTCCATGCTTGGAACTCATATATACAGTAATTAAATTGGATGGTTGCATAGTTTTCACAAGACACACACCTTATGTATAGATGATTGACTAGTAGAATTTTTGAGCAAAATAAATAATATAAATTCTAGGAAACTTGCATGTACCTATATTATTATAAAATAATATAATAAAGCTTTATTAACCCATGTTATGTCTTGACTTGAGAAAAGTTATACTGACATATAATTTTGAAAGAATGCTAGAGTTAAGAATAAAACTGATATTTTATTTTCCGAAATTACTTTATAGTGATTTACTGTTAGATGTCGAGTGACTTTTAAGCTGTCTGTTTATCCAATGCAACTTAAAATTAGGTTATTGCACAAATATAACATCATATTATCAATAACTCAATCGTAATTCTTATAATATTTTGCACAAACTTGAATAATCAGACTCACAAAATATTGTATCACTCAAATATTACTTCAACGCGTTACAATAGTGGCATGTATGTCAATTTCCATTCAAAATGGAATAAGTTTCAAAAGCTTTGAATGTCTCATAAGTTGAAACCCATCAATATGCATTATTTGATTGTTTGTCAGGAATTTGACAATGGCATGTCATTGATTCGTAAATTCACGATTTAAATTTTTTTTCAAATCTCAAATAAAATATGCTTTGGGTGAAAAATATATGAACTATTTTCCCACTATATTATGAAGCTTATTGAATTGTATTATGATATTGAGGTATCAAATACAAAGAACCCATTGTCAGTTTGCATTTGTGCCACACACCAATCTCACAATGTCATGGTTTGTTTATTTGATTTGATTTTTTACAATGTGCACATGTTTTTCAATTTTATTTAGTCATAATTGAGGTAAAATCTTCCACTGCATTATGCATACAAAATTTATTGAACATTGCATGTTATTATATAAACTCACTTTCATTTGATCTCATGCTATGTATTATGATCAATTGGTGATCTTTATCAAGAAATCTTGAATCTCAACCTGTATAATTGGACAATTTGGACCTTTTAATATGTTTCATTATAATATGAGGTATGTAATGAATAACATAAACTAAAAATCTTATTTTTGTTATGCTTGGTTGTGCCAATCTGAATATTACTGTTTTAGTCATCAAAATCTCGATACAACAAAGTTATATTATAGAAAACTATCACTAATGGAATTTGCTCTTGGCTGTTTTCTAATGCTATTAAGAGCCACAAATCGGTTTAATTATGGTGCGGCTTAAGGAAATTGGCACTTAATTTACAACAATTTTACTCAAACAGGAGAAAAGATAGTCACAATTCGAACACCACCGCTAGACACTAGTCGCAATGAAAACAACAGATCAGAAGATGTTCATGTTGACATGCCTCAGGTATAGTATTATTAGTATATTTTAATCTGAAGACGCATGTTTATTAATTATCACTCAAACAACATGAATGAATGGATAACATAGATTCTCCAACTGATGTCGGAAGGCTTTTTATTAGATATGATACAAACTTAGACCCTAAATTTGTGTTTGTTTCCATTCAACTAGAAATACCCCAATCAAATATACAAGTGAGTCTTACTTGTAATTATGAAATATGGGATGAAAACAAGTTTGCTACACTTCACCTTTGTATAGTCACCAATTATTATTATCTTTAATTCTGATTGCTGCAAAATTCAATACTGGCATAAGACATCTACCTAGTTGTTTTCTGTGGTTTGGACAGATTAGTATAAAATTTTCTGCAGTGTTTATTGCGGATGGGGTTTTGAATGTTTTCAGTAGGGTTAAATTTTGGTATTTGGATATGAAACAAAGTCTGGGAAAATTCATGTCTAGCATATGAACCGTTCTTTTCCCAATAGTTATTGATACATCTGAAGTGGGTGTTGGACAATGTTTTCATAGAGTATAGATTGCTAACAAAGACAGGATTAGAGCAATATATAATGTAAACTTTCTTTCTGTTTCTTTGTCACCAACAATATTTCTCGTCCCCTGAGGTGAGGATATTTATTTTTCCTTTGGTGGATTATCTATTGTTCGAATCCGTTGTAATATTTCAGTTTGTACAGTGGATCGTATCCTTCCTTTTTCCGTTTAACCATATAGGTAAATGTCATCTACAAGTGATTCTACAGTTTTTCAATTCTCGCAATGTAATCATTTCTAATTACCCCCATAATGTGCACTGTGCGCTTTAGAAGTTGGGACCTGAAGTAAAAACCCTAGCTGTATCCTGTGATGCTGAAGAAAAGTTAGCACGCTAAATATGTTACATTCCTTCGATCGTAAACTATTTTGTCATTGGAGCGTCGGCTGCGATGCGTAAACTCCTGTTTGTGGTTGTAAATATAAAGTTTAACCTTTTGGGTTCCACCACCCGGTTTTGAGTGGAGAAGTATCAACTTTCAAGAAAAGCGTTAAAGGAATATTTATTAGTTGGTTAAAGACAAATCAACTATCTGACGATAAAGTTGCACAAAACATGCGATTTTGCGATTTTATAACGAAGCCCGGTTTAACTAAGAATTTTGTTAAATAAACACAAGCTTGTCAGAACCCGATAACTCCCATCACTGTGTTGACGTTATCCACGGCACAGGTAAACGAAACGTCCTGGAACTTGTCAGATGATACTTAACAAGAATGTGTTTATACAAAATGTTAGTCATACAACTCAGCGACATAAAACATGTGTTAAACCTGGTTTTCGCGTGTAAGAAGCGGTATTAATTACTATCGCAACTTAGTATAGCAATTGATACAAGAAATTCGGGGTATTATCTATTATGTACCCAAGCTAGCATAGTCTTGGTCACCCCTACATATATGATTTTTTCTAAGCTTTTCCGCGGTGTTCTGTTTGAAGATCAAACCAATAATAGAAAGGTAAATTTGGTTAACGCAAAAGATTGACCCGATTTTATTGCCGCATCGATAACCTTGCGATGTGCAAACTCAGTCACAGATTTTATCAGTGACTATATTTTATTATCTTGCCTTTACAAAAGAGAGACGCCTACTTCTTAGTAACTCTAAAATCTAAATCACCACAATTAAAAATGCGATTTTCTAATTCCAGTCCATAACAATTTAAAAGTGTCTCGTTCACAACAAAACTGTATAAACATAAATTTAGAAGTGGTTCTCATAATGGAACCTTTAGAATATTTTGATCATTGTAAAGAGTGATTGATTACTATAACTGTGCGTTTCAAAACTATCTAACGACAAAAAGGATTTTCACTCAAGCTTGCCTGGTACGCTGGGAATGTTTCCAAATTCCAATCCATTCATCATTCAAATATTAAACCCATTTCTTAATAATGAGCATCTCAAGCGATGCTGCTTTTCCATACTAATTATTCTCGCAGATAATATATTTTACCACAAACCAGTTATTAAATTATACAAGCATAATATTTGATTTTTAAGTCTTTTTTTTACATAGCAGCCGTTCACACGTCCTACGTGGAGGCGTCTTTGTTCGGCGCTCCATTCGATAGCTAGGGATTACCAATTTTATGGTCGTAGGACAATAATGAATTGAATTTAACCTCGACTGCCAGGTGCGCAGATCGCACTGTGTCTTCCGTGTCTCTGATTGGAATTCTATTTCAAGCTTAATTTCTGATTAAAGCGCCGTTATAATTAAAGATCTTACATTCTCTGTAGTAATCGTGTTTGTTTCTGTATATTTTGGTTCCAAGAACTTTTTAGTAGAAAACAAAAGTATCCGACCTATAGCACGTCTGCATTGAAAAATCTGTTTGTTTCTGTATATTTTGGTTCCAAGAACTTTTTAGTAGAAAACAAAAGTATCCGACCTATAGCACGTCTGCATTGAAAAATCCCTTATGCGTTTGGTTTGTATCGTATGTTGCTCGTTTTGCTATACTTCCATTACGATACGACCCCGCTCGTTTTCTATAATGATTACACTAATTATTGTTGTCAGCTGGTACTTTTTAATATTTCAGTGTATTGCGTTATTTGTAGAAGGGGCGACACTGGTACGATGACGTTCTTTTAGGGCCCCTGTCAAATCAATATTGGTTTTATATTCATCAGTACTGAAAAGCTTTGACGTAAGTATCCAGATTATGGAAAACTTGCTACTTACCACATGGGTGGTTTGTCTGCATTGACTCTCTTGACACCAGTACGCTATGCATTATTATAATGTCCTGAAATCACTTTGTAAGATATGCACGAGTAAAGTCAAGCATGATAAGTTGACGGACCCGACAATATTACCTACTTGGGGTACTCTGAAAATGCGGTATATGTTTAGTAAATACATTGATGCGATAGAAGCAAAAGCTTGCCTGCATTGCCTCCCACGCTTATAGATATTCTCGAAGATCGTTTGAAGTCCCAACGCTTAGTAAGCGTGGCGTCTTTTATCCAGTCGCCTGTGACAAATGCCACCGAGGTTCGTGGCTCTTTGAATTGAGAACGAGCATATTTACCTATACATTTATTTTTGGGTGTATTTGTATCAAAACAGTACTTACTCAGTTCCCAGCATTCCAACCACAAAATGCGGTTCTAGCTTGCCAGCGTATTTAGTAAACTGAGGGATTTTGATAGCATGAATGAAACTCTAAATTTCACTGATACATAATGTTCTTTGTTTTGAAACAAATTTGCCGGTTTTGTGTCACTTACTATATTTTTAGATAGCGTGTTACAATTGGGCATCATAACCATTGTCTTTAATTTTTTAATTTTAATCATTTTATTGCTTGTGGTGAATAGCGCTTTATAAACGTGGTTATCGTTTAGATTTTGTTACAAACCATTAAACGTGTGTGATTATACCAGTTACACAAGTTATGAGTGCAATATTTGTTGTTTTAGAAGCTCTATTGGTAACTTTAATTGGCTAGGATATAATATATAGCTACGTTAATGAATTGAACCATCACATGAATGCTTCATTGAATTTCGCCTTCATCGCGGATACAAAACTTTATTATTAATAACTTGGTAGATTTCTTATATTTGCTCGTTATATGTGATCAACCTGATGTTTTCAATTGGTCTTTTTAAGATTATGCTACAATTTCTATTCCCGATAAATCGACTTTTATAGTTCTTTAGACATTAATTAACACAATAAGGTCATTTAAGTATATAAAAGATGGATATTGTATTTGTTTTGTAATTCCATATATCCAGCTTGACAACATGGTTGTGCGACATTTTTGACAACCCAAGGCAAAAGCATTTCTGTCTCGAGAAATCATCATCACTTAACTTACACATATGCTTCAGTTTTACTTCTTCGACGACAATGACTAAGAGGATAGATATTCTCGCTGTTTTTTTATTCATACCAACTTTTGTTACAATTGAAAGACCACAGATCGCGATATTCAGTAGCCAGACATATCAGTATGGATAAATAAACTTATACCACTTTGCCAAACATGTTCCTTATAACCGAAACAATCGCTTCTTCGGCAAAAAAGTAAGTGGACGCATAATAAACCATCTGCCAAATTTAATAATTCAAACAAAATATAGATAGGGATCACTCAGTGACATGATGAATGGTGCGTACGCTGTGCGGCCGTTGCTGACGAATACGAATAACCTATATAATGAACACCATTGAAATCTTGGACGTAATGAAGTAATAACGGCCATGGCGAGTTGTTAATGTCTGTCACTTACACGTTGACTCTATCGAGACTGGCCAACCATAAGTTGCATGTCTACGATAAAATCGTATCCAACATAAAGGCGTGTGTGGCGCCAGTAGACTAAGAGAACACCATTTACTTAACTGCAGAGAGTAAACAAAAGGTTCAAACCCTATATCGCAATATTTGCTCCCGAAAATGGAAAGTGTTCGGTGCTTACATACGTGCGATTTGAACGTTTCACTCGCCACAGTGCCAAGCTACTGATTCCTTTTTATTTCTCTTGCACTTGAAACAAAATATTAAAAAATAATTCAAAGTAGCATTTTAATAGCATCAACTTATTTCAAGCCTTCAAATGACTGAACTTGAGATGATTTGATATAGATTTTTATCCTTGAACTTGAGGTTTGTAATTCGTCTGCTATTTTCTTTGGTTTCTAAATATTTTGGATTTGCTAGTTTTAATCAGAAAATTTGCGAGTAACGTCTTATCTATAACGATCTTATACCAGATTCACGTTCTATATTCACCATTTCACTGTTTCACAACATTTAGTTTAGATTAAATGTTTTAGCAATCCAGCAACGAGTGTACTATTTAAGTTCTGATTATTTATTTCTTCAAGTTGCGTGTTTTCAAATTTACTTCTCCTTGATTCATGATTCATTCAGTGAATGATTTTCTAAGTGGGGCACAAAATTAATGACGTTTGACGTTTT